GAAAGTCCAGCGTCACACCATGCCGACGTGTTTTCGAAGAGCATGGGAAACGCCAATGAAACACCGCTGAGCCCTTCGGCTGAGCCGTCCTTAGATTAAAATCATCAGGCAAATGACAAAAAATCACACACACATGTATATATACACATATATGGTGGTTTCCTCAAATAGGGGTACCCCTAAATCATCCATTGAAATAGGATGTTCCATTATAAACCATCCATAATTAATGGGGACCCCCCATTTTAGGAAACCTCCATATAATTCCATATATATATATGACATTATATGACATTATTTGACTAAGTAGCAGTTAAACGTGCAACAACAGCCCGTTCACCAACAAAACCTGGGATTTGATTTAACAAAGTAACAACTGGGATTGAACCGGAGATCTAGCGTCACCAACTTCAGGAAATACTGACAGCAAGGAGTTCTAACTCAACAGTATGGTGACTGGAATCAACCGATATCTCATCAGAAATTAAGCCACGCCAAAAAACTATAGGACGTGACGTGGAGAGATGCGGTGAGACACAACTACCTCAAACTGTTAAGACATGTTAAGACCACCCACATAATCCTGTAACACCCAGGTTTGGCCCGGCTGAGCGGCATAAAAATTGCCAGCAAATCTGCAGCTGGAATTCATGATTGCACGACCAATCAAAGCGATGATTCACGTATAGCACTTGGGCTGCACGCTGTGACTGCACATATATCGTCAATGAGTGCAAGCCTAGGGAGAAAAGCAGAATATCGATGGGTGTTATATTGCAAGATCAGTACCAGTGAATGATGCAAGAGCGTTCGTCAAGAGGTTGCCATGTGTGAACTTCAGCAATGCACCCCGCCACTTGTTTGAAAACAAATAGAGTTTGCACAAATTGGTGCACACCAAATTCATAGGATCAATACAAACAACCCTCCAATCAAACATGGCATAATGGAACATCTCCGTAACATCTCCCAGAATAGATGTTCTTTTCCTATATATATATATATATGTGCTAAATTCATAAGGGGGTTGACATTCTTATGTTTGATTGCCGGAGGATACAAACATGGCGAAAGAATTGTATGTGTCTTGGTATTACATTGATTCAGCCCCGCACAAACATGACTACTGACTGTACAAGGTAGCATGTCAATAATTCCAATTTTGCCACATATATAAGTTGACTAAAGGCATCTAAAGGCCACATGTTCATCACAATTTCAAGGTATCTGTTCTGTCGATCTGCCATGCCAACCAACCCTTTAATTCTAAACTAAATAGTATTCAAAATGAGCCATGCAAAAATACAAACAAACCATCCCAACTGTACTGGTTGGTCAATGGACACCCCACGTTTTTGGTGGGTCATCATAATCCCCAAAAGACCAGCATCACTCAGCATCGCCAAAAAAATCACCCAGCCAACGTATTTTTTCATGGCTCAGTATCTGGTCCTTATCTCCGTGCCGATACGAACACGGAACAAATGGCCGTGTTCCGTCGAAAAAAAATTGGATGTCTTGGAGCGGAGCCACTGGCGGCCGCCAAAAGGCTATTTTCAGCACTTTTATCTCTGCTAGACTCATGGAGGTTTCCTAAAATGGGGATATCTCCAATTCATCGAAGTCATTAGACCATTCTAGTATTGAGACATATTGATTGAGACATATTGATTGAGACATATTGATTGAGACATATTGATTGAGACATATTGAGACCCATGGTTTTGGGATGTTTTGCGGATCCCCCAATTCAAGAAACACCCTCCTTCTTTCGAAAATAAGATGTTCTTCTGATTTTTTCTACTTGTTTAAACTTAGACTAGGAAACGCGCATGTGTGTCCTGACGCATGGGTATTTACGCTTGTTGACTTGGTGTTTACGCCAACTTCAACTTCCCACGAAAATACGCTCAGAATATGCGTTTCAAAGTAGACTGAATGGAAAACTGCCCCCAGCGGTGCAATTAGGCTCATTTAGAGAAAATACGCTCGAAAAACAAACATCTCCCAAATAAGATGTTGTTCAGGGATGTTCTGTTGTATTCAAGCATCTATTGTGAGGCTGTGTGTAAATATATGTATATATATATATTATGTAATACTACAGAATAATAAATAATCATAAATAATCAACATAACTGGGACAATACTGGAACATTAACTTGATCAGAATCTTGAGCGATACAATCAAATACCCTCTGGGAAATCATGTTTTGTTCAATGGTTTCCTCACATTTAGAAAGTGGATGTCAATGGACGTCGGCAAGTATGTATATATAAATATATATAAATAACATTAAGTTGTTTCGTGGTTGAGCCACCCTTTCCAACGATCCTATAGAATTTCGTTTCATCCCACTTAGGATTCAGGCCTTCCGCGGCGAAAGCGCCGTGCGCTTTCAGGGACCTCAGGCCGTTTGACTCCGACCCAGGGTGTCACTTTTGGGCGCTGCAGTTCCTGCTGGCGAGGGCGGAGTCCAAGACCTTGGAAACTCTGACCCAGCAATGGATCTGAACGAATGGCGCCGCGCTGAGGCTGTGGCGCGAGGATGCCGTATTGCCGAAGGGCTTCGTTTCGCGTCATGCCTCGCCTAGGGTCGTTGCGCGGCAGGCTATGGCCGTCGAAGACGAAGCCAAAGGTTTTTGCCATGAATAAGTTTGGCACTATAAGTTTTGTAAGTTAATCTATATTTTTTGTATTTTTTTGTTGCGTTGAATTTTGTAGTTTTCTCGCAATTTGTCATGTGATTCTGGCAAGTTCCGGTTTTCCCGCTGCGTGTCGTTTCCTGAGCGTTTGATCTCGAAATGTCAAGAGTTTCTGGCAAAAACATCGGTTCGGGTGAGCTTGGGCGAGAACAACAGCTACGGATTTCAGTCTTGAGGAAACACCCAAAATTAACTTTTTTAACACATGCGCGTTTCCAAGCACGATGGTGACAGTGATGAGAGTTGGAAACACAATCCCGTTCCCTTGCCAGTTTTGTGTTTTCATGATTTTTCATGAGGATACAATGCGCGTTCCCAATTTTTGTGGAAACATATCCCGAATGTCGAGATTTCTGAGCACCGTGTGTATAGATGTGGAAATACATTTTTAAACAATCACTTTTTTGTCTCTGCGTGGAAACACATAGATACGCATTTATTTGTTCTGGAAGTCTAAAATCTAGAAAATCATGCGCGTTTCCTTGTTTTCTTCTCGAAACAACAGGAAACACATGCGTTTTCCACGCCAACCTTCTCTCATCTTCTCTTAAACAACAGGAAACGCCAGGATGAAATCCTGCAGTGTCGCTCTCTGCGCCACCACGTTTGCTGCTGCTGCTGCTGCCATGCTCCCAGGGATTTAGTGTTTCACTTGAGCAGCAAAATTGTCCCATCATAAAAACATCGGTTTGGACGACAAAAAACAGCTATCTTTGCTAACTTGTTTGTATCTGTTTCTAATATATCTGCTATCCAATGTTATATATCCCTATCTATTGATATAACTTTAACATGATTTGTACAAGTTATCCACAATTATAAATATACAACATGATTTGCATCTCAAGGCACAACATTGTATATATGGTACCCTGGGGCCTGGGGTAAACATACAAAAAAATGTGGAAAACCCATGGGGACACCTTGGGAGAATCATATACAAATGGTGGGTTACTCTTACTTTACAGGGGGGTAATCAATAGAAAATCCCCGCACAAAATGATGAAGTGAAGAGGCACATCATCATGTCATCTACGGATCACCTAGGAATCATGGATTGTGCGATGTTTGTTTAATGGCAAGAGGGTATGTGATCAGTATGCCTCTGATTTGAGGTTAACATGCCGTATACAATGTACGTACTACATGGATGATCAAAGTAAGGATGCAACAGGACAAAACTGCAACTTTGTGGGCACCCCTGAGGCCCCTAACTTCCACTAGAAGACTCACACATGCCTTTAATTTTATTTTTGCTACCTGGTCAAGCCTACCTCTGAGCTGAAAAGGAGCTAGATACCAACCTTGGGACAAGAAACACATAGTGAATTCGATCGAAACATCATGGTCAATCTGTGGTAGTCCAGAACAAATTCATATCTTTTGCTGGTTACAGTTTGATTGGTTATGAATATGTTTCATTTATTAAAAAACCGAACTAAAGGATACTAAAGGACTAAACTACCTATCCAGTTGGTTGGGGATGACATATCCCACAACCTTGGACCCAACCCCCTGGGACCCGCAACAAGGAGTTCCAATGTGCCTCAGCACGGTACGCCCCAGAATCCAGTGTCTTGATCAAGGGGATATGATGAGATATGATGAGATACCCCTAACAACCCCTAGCAACTTAAATGGGAAGCATGATGTTCTAAACCATTGGAGACTCCTATTTTCACTCAAAGCCATATATATTTTTTGCTACCATTCAGCAAGCTCATTGCTTCTGCTTCGTGGATGTGTCGGTCTCGCAAGATCCAGCTGGGAAAATGAAGATTGCCTCAATGGGCTTTGAGCCTGCCTACGAACAATAGAAAAAACTATATATATATTACATAATCATTAAAATTCATGTTAAGCTTATCTCAGATCTGATGATTAATTTGTTCTTACCAGTTGCCGCCTGCTTCCACAGAAAAAGTATTTTTTGGGGAGCGGGGGGGTGACTGTGGTTCTGCCAATAAAATGTCCTAACCTAGCCAACCACATATCATATATATATATATTGAGATATATTGTAATAGAACTGTATGTAGTTATGTAGTATGTATAGATGCACATATTGTACATCGATATTGATTCAATTATTGAACCTCCATGGATTTTTCTGCCAGCCCATGGTTTTTCCTTTTTACAAGTTGCGCCTCGCCAGTCGCAGTGAAACGACCCCTGCAGATCACCTGCTAAACACACGAACACTGTGACACACGCCAAAGGAAAAAAACATGAGAAAAATGACCATTTATAGTGGATTTACCCATTAAAAATGTTGTTCCATAGTTATAAAAACATGATCATCTCCAAAGTCGAAGCATGCTCGGTCTTGGTGAATTAGATGTTCAAACCTGCGGAAGCCAAAGGATCTCAGGGACCACATGCACGGCCCAGGGCTTCAAACCTGGCTCTTGGAGCGAGGTCAAACCGGGCTTCATGAGTGCCAACGTGGTGATAAGCGGCTACGCGACCTGCAGCGACCAAGTGGGTGGACTGATGGCTGAGCATAAACAGCATTGAATTGAGGGAAAAGTCTAGAAAAATCAAGACTAACTTGCAGGAAAACTTCCATGTTTACATATGCTTGCCACCAAAGTCTTGAGCCGTTCAAGGTCGCAAGTAAGGGTGGATCACTGTGCATTATAAACTTTAGGAATGCAGTTGTTTATGTTGTTTACTTGTGTGGATTTCATACCCGGCAAGATTTCCGGATGGGTGAAACATGATTTCAGTCTGCTGGGGACAGCCCTTCTAGGTGCTTAGGAAAAATTAAAACCCACCCAGCCAAAGGGGATAAACATTTGGGTTCCTTCAGTCATGGAGGATCCGCAAGTCACCATGGTTGTTCCGTACTAAGTCAAGGTCATCCATGCTTGGATGACAACTGGGGGTACCCCCATGACTTCGGAAACCTCAACTTCACAACTTCACGGCACCTGAAATTGCTGTTTCATCCAATTCTCGAATTCGTCGTCTGCCAAAAGGCATCGCTTCGATGCTGTCACCTCCGGCCCAGTTGCGGATTGACGATGCACCCGCAAGAGGCACCATGGAATCCATGGAACCCCAAAATTGAACGTATACAAAATGAACATGATACAGCATACAGCATGACAACATGAAAGAACCACCAAACAACATCGTGCGACTTGTCGTGCCTCACAGTTCTTGGTGTTGCGCTGCACAAACATCGCCGCGTGACCCCGCTTGGCCGCAGCGTGCATGGCCGTGCGCATCTTGGGATCTTTGGCGTAATCATCATTGGGCATGGTCCTCCGGACATCTTGGCTGGTTGATCATGTCGGTGCTAAACGCAGGGAATGAGGGGATGATCCACTGGCTAACTATCAATAATCATCCCAGCAACCCCCAGCAACCCATCCATTCCCTACGTTTAGCAACAGTAAGTCATGTTGGTGCTTTTCACTGTTTTTCATAGCCTTTCACCTTCATGGATTTCGCAGGATTTCGCTGACAATCGTCAGAAGATGTCAGCAAGGAGCACCCGAAAGCGATATGTTCACCGTCGTTTTCGGCTCATCTTAGATACCCTGTGAAAGATAGATAGATTTCCAGCAGTGCACTACATTCTCCCATGCAGGCAACAGAATAAAGTATATATAAAGATATCAAACAAAGCTTTCACCAGTCGTTTTACCCGTAGTTTCATGGCTAAACCATAGCTATCCATAGCTGTATGCTTAAATCGCAGAGTTTAATCCATCACAATCATCACATAATGTTCATGGATATTCATGGTGCAATCATTCTGTGTGTTGATTAAACCAGTCCAAAACACGCACACATACATATATATATATATATTCACACACACATATATATATATACATATATATATATACATGTATATATATATACATACATATATATATACATATATATACATATATTTATATGTGAAATTATATGAAGCATCTTTGAAATAGTTGACCCATTCCCACTCACCTCGTTGCACGGTGCCTGTCCTGTTGAGTCTGCGGTGGCACTTTCGCACCTCCGTCAAGACACCGGAGTGGATGCAGCCGAACCTGACGGAGGAACGGAGGAACCTGACGCTGGATCTGGGGGTCACGGTTCCCTGTGACTGTACATTACACTGTAGATACATGTTGTTGGTTAAATATCCGTGTGTATGTGTGTGTAGCTATATATCATGATCATTCATTATCTCAATGGGAATTTCAGGATCCTAAAATGGAGGTACTGTACCATATAAGACAATATTTTATGGGGATATTCCCTTACATAGGCCTTACATAGGCCTTATATATATATATATATGTTAGGTCATTGATTATCTATATATCTATCTATCTATCGATCGATCGATCTATCGATCTATCTATCTTTCTATCTTCTGTCTGTCTATCTATCCATTCTATCTAACCCTATCTAATCCTATCTAATCCAGTCTAATCTAACCGATTTTTCTATCTATCCATCTATAGTGTATAATTACTTGACATGCATATCTACCAACATCGAAAACCATCCCACATCGAAATTCCTGGCAGTTCTGAGGCCTAGCGTTCTGCTGACTCTGAGCGGTGCGTCGTGCAACTGCACAGAAGGTCTCGAAGATGGAGATCCTTCCGGCATCGACAAGCCGTGACACGCCGTGCAGCTGAGGGAACAATTAAAAAAAACAGCAAAAGCAAAGCCAAGCATAGCCAAATTTATGAACCAGCTAATACCAATTATTTTTCATCAACTCATATATTCACATAAGTATACATATATATATACATAGTTATATATATATATATATATGTGTGTGTGTGTTTGTATTATCTGCCAGCTAAATGCAAGTGATGGATTTGGAGTCCGCTGGCCTGACTGGCTGCAGGGAGCCCTTCATCTTGATCTTCTTCCTTGGAGCGTCCAAGGATGGTGCGAATTAGTTAACAAAGTTTGGGTATAAAACCAACAAACAAATACAACCAACATAGGCCAGTGTTTATTAAATTAGTATAAATTAGTTAGCTATGTAATGAACAGTACAACCGACTCAAACGACAAAGTTATGGTATAAAACTAGCCATTTTGGCCTCCCATAATGGAAGACTACATAATATGAAAGGGACTTGTGTTCAAATCGGGCCATGGGCACCGGAGTTCTGGCCATCCTCATGCTTGGCATTTCCTCATTTCTTGCTGATTATACCGTCTCAAAGCACCCGGCATCGTTGGTGGCTTCAGGCCCGGAATGATAGGAACGGAAATCAACCTACATTGGCACTGATGAACTCCCCAAAGCGTTTTAACATGTTTTAACAATCTTGAAAGTGGGCATTGTTTGTTTACCAGTCCTGCTTGATTTTAATGTATTGTATGTGCGTACTGTATAATTCAATGAGCATTTCCAGCCCATGGATTGGTGACGGGAAACTCTGAAACTGGGGTAAAAACACCAAGTTGTTTCCATTTTTCCCAATCCAACAGTATCCAGATGTAACATGATGTACCCTCTGGTAAACTAACATATAACTATGGAAAATCACCATATTTATTGGGTAAATCCTATTTCTATGGCCATGTTCAATAGCTTTTTGTATGTTTACCAGAGGGTAACCAGTCTATGGAGATCTGGATGGCTGATCCCAACCAGCACCAAGCATCCGCTTGTCCAGGATGCGAGCCTGCTTGGACTTCAAAGTCGACGCGCCGTTGCGCCGCAGGTCCACGTTCCGGTCCCGATGCCTGGTAGGTCGCTGCTAGTTGCATGTTGGTAATGATTACATGAGGATATGTAAGGATCATAGATGGATCTGAGATCTAGGATGGCTCCCCATTCTTGGGGCTGTACGGGGTCTAATTTTATCATATCCAAAGTGGCAGGGCCGGTGGATTTACTGGGGCCTGATGCCCAAGAAGGGACATTGACAAATCTTCAAAGAACTTTGACATGCAGCGGGGTTTAAGCACCAAGTGCATGCAAACGGTCTGCTGGATCCCAAACTGTTACTACTTGAGGTAATACATGCAAGACATTTTGATTTTTAATCCCCACCCTGCAACGAACCCAGTTATCTGCAAATATCTTCAGCCCAGCGGCTTGCTCAAGCTGATTTTAGCCTTCTCCGCGATGGCTGAAGCTTGGGCGAGATACTCATCTGGGCAGAAATTTGCCACCAGCAATTTGGAGTTTTTTTCCGCAACAAAAAAAGGAAAACACAAAGGAGGCCATTCCATTCCATTCCCCCTTGTTGTGGGCTGTGCAAATCCCTATTTTACTTGCTCAAATATCTCGAATGATGTGAGAATGTCTTAAATGCTCTTATGTAAATGGATCTTGCATACATGAAACTTAACACAACTTAACTATCTTAACTGGTTGTTTCTCTGATGTGTCTTTAAAATGCCAACTGGAACTCCACCGCACGCACCTTCCCCCAGCTCCTCGCGTCGTTTCATGAGCTGCGTGAGATCTGTCTGGCTCTTGCGAAGCAGTTCCCGGCCGAAGCGGTCCAGGGACACCCGCACCAAGAGGCCACGGGCATACCTGGCCGATGGGATCCCCATGGGATCCCCAGGGTATCTGGGATGGGGCCAGTGCCGAGGTTGGGATTCGAATTGATTTGAGGTCAATATGTATTTTTAAACATATGGTTGAACGAATTGAATGCGTTTGGATCTTTTTGGGGGGGAAGTGAGAAGATCCGGCTTGATTACGGTTTGTAGATAGGAGGATGTTGGAAGGTTGGTAATGGGAAAAATGCTGGCGCCTTCAACAACAGAGCGGCTCTTCTGAGAGGTTCTGTCCCTACAATTTTAATTGTGCTTTATGTCTTCATATGTCTCCTGATTGGTGCTTTAGACCAATGCTGGTACGAAAGTCACAAACAATTGGGATTGATAGGGGCTACTCATCACAAATAGCTCAATCTGATTTATCTGTTGCTGAAAAATCAGCGGTTCATCATGTGACGCCCACAGCCTCTGGATGTCAATGGCCGATTCGTTCAAGCGTCGAATCCATTGTCGCGTCAGGGCCCCTTGCCAAACACGCTGCAGGTGCAAAGTGGCCTTCCTTGGAGGAGTGATGCCATGGCATCAAGATGTAAGGTCAACACCGGATGAATCATTAACTCTCAATATTATTCAATTAATATATTAATTAAACAGCCATAAATAGACCCTGGTTTATTGGCCATTAGGGGAGATACCCCCAATTATAGTGACAATCTGCCATTAAATGGTACTCCTCCCAATTTTGTATGGCCCAGGGGTGTATCAGTTGCCCTGACCTCTTCCACTATTGCGATGCCATGTTCATCTCACAATCTTGGACCGCGCTTTACCGGGTGGAAATGGACATCGAATTGGCTTCCTCATCTCGTCCCCCTACAGAACTAGGCTTAGTGCTCCTTAATTGAAAGGGGGAACCGTGTCGATCCAGTAGTAAACCACACTTTCCAAAAACGTTTAATGAGTTTTAATGACAGGGATTAGCTGGAGATGTGACCCCCCAACACCTCCCAGTCATCGGAAAACCCGAGGCGCAGGAATTTGGCGTTGCGGCTATTCCAGCGATATGCCCTGGAGTTGCCAAGGAGACCACACCCGAACAACATCAACACATACCCCTCCGGTAAACCAACATAGCTATGGAAAATGGCCCATTTATAGTTCCTATTAAAAGTGGTGATGTTCAATAGTCATGTTATTTTACCAGATGGTATTCGGTATTCTTCACCAGTTATGAATATTATAGTTATCAATGGGCTGATCTGACTTACTGACGTCCATACCTGGTAAGGGGCCATAAAAGCAGAGATTCCCCAACTTGTGGATCCTCCATGATTTTCCATTGGGAAAGAAATACATCGAAACCCCCAAAAGCTAGAGATTCTCCAGTGCCTGGTGGACTTTGCAGGAATTCCTGGGACCTATAATTTGCATATATATATATTATATATGTGTGTGTGTACATAATTATATAAAATATATTAAAGTATAATATAACCTCAAATCTTGGGGCAGTTCCTCCCTAAACCTCTGGGATCTTCTAGGGATTTCTGCCTGTAGCTATGCTGGATCTTCTCCACCGCCAGCTCCATGCGGGTGATCTGCAGCCCTGTGCGCAGACCACGCCAGAAGCGCTGGATACAAATGGCCGGTGCCACCGCGTTGCGCGACTTCTTCTTCTTTTTCAGGTATCTTAGTTGGAAAAAAATGATAGGAACCAGCTATTTTCAGGTATCTTAGTTGGAACAAAATGATAGGAACCAGCTATACATAGGGACTTCACTCATCTTAGTTGAAAAAAAATGATAGGAACCAGCTATACATAGGGACTTCAATCATCTTAGTTGAAAAAAAATGATAGGAACCAGCTATACATAGGGACTTCACTCATCTTAGTTGAAAAAAATGATAGGAACCAGCTATACATAGGGACTTCACTCATCTTAGTTGAAAAAAAATGATAGGAACCAGCTATACATAGGCATACATAGGGACTCCACTCATCTTAGTTGAAAAAAAAATGATAGGAAGCAGCTATACATAGGGACTTCACTCATCTTGGTTGAAAAAAATGATAGGAACCAGCTATACATAGGCATACATAGGGACTTCACTCATCTTAGTTGAACAAAAATGATAGGAACCAGCTATACATGGGGACTTCACTCATCTTAGTTGAACAAAATGATAGGAACCCGCTATACATGGGGACTTCACTCATCTTAGTTGAAAAAACATGATAGGAACCCGCTATACATAGGGACTTCACTCATCTTAGTTGAAAAAATGATAGGAACCAGCTATACATAGGCATACATAGGGACTTCACTCATCTTAGTTGAAAAAAATGATAGGAAGCAGCTATACATAGGGACTTCACTCATCTTAGTTGAAAAAAATGATAGGAACCAGCTATACATGGGGACTTCACTCATCTTAGTTGAAAAAAATGATAGGAACCAGCTATACATAGGGACTTCACTCATCTTAGTTGAAAAAAAATGATAGGAACCAGCTTTACATAGGGACTTCACTCATCTTAGTTGGAAAAAAATGATAGGAACCAGCTATACATAGGGACTTCACTCATCTTAGTTGAAAAAAATGATAGGAACCAGCTATACATAGGGACTTCACTCATCTTAGTTGAAAAAAATGATAGGAACCAGCTATACATAGGGACTTCACTCATCTTAGTTGAAAAAAACATGATAGGAACCAGCTATACATAGGGGCTTCACTCATCTTAGTTGAAGAAACATGATAGGAACCAGCTATACATAGGGACTTCACTCATCTTAGTTGAAAAAACATGATATGAACCAGCTTTACATAGGGACTTCACTCATCTTAGTTTAAAAAAAACATGATAGGAACCCGCTATACATAGGGACTTCACTCATCTTAGTTGAAAAACCATGATAGGAACCCGCTATACATAGGGACTTCACTCATCTTAGTTGGAAAAACATGATAGGAACCAGCTATACATAGGGACTTCACTCATCTTAGTTGAAAAAACATGATAGGAACCCGCTATACATAGGGACTTCACTCATCTTAGTTGAAAAAAACATGATAGGAACCAGCTATACATAGGGACTTCACTCATCTTAGTTGAAAAAACATGATAGGAACCAGCTATACATAGGGACTTCACTCATCTTAGTTGAAAAAACATGATAGGAACCCGCTATACATAGGGACTTCACTCATCTTAGTTGAAAAAAATGATAGGAACCAGCTATACATAGGCATACATAGGGACTTCACTCATCTTAGTTGAACAAAAAACATGATAGGAACCCGCTATACATAGGGACTTCACTCATCTTAGTTGAAAAAAACATGATAGGAACCCGCTATACATAGGGACTTCACTCATCTTAGTTGAAAAAAAATGATAGGAACCAGCTATACATAGGCATACATAGGGACTTCACTCATCTTAGTTGAAAAAAATGATAGGAACCCGCTATAATACATGGGGACTTCACTCATCTTAGCTGAAGAAAATGATAGGAACTCGCTATATATAGGGACTTCACTCATCTTAGTTGAAAAAAAAATGATAGGAACCCGCTATACATAGGGACTTCACTCATCTTAGTTGTAAAAAAAATGATAGGAACCAGCTTTACATGGGGACATCACTGACTTAACTGGCAATGCATTGGATTATCATGGTGTGAGGGAATTTTCTGGAAACATGTCTTCGCAGAAATACAGGGGGGTTATTCAATTTTTCCTGCAACCAATTTTGGTAGTGGAAAGATGAGTCTTACCAGCATACCAATAATATCTTGATTTCAGAATATTTCATAATATTTCCCTTACTTGGGTCTGTCCAAAACAGGGGGAATTAAATGGCAGCCTTCAAATAGGGAATCAATCATATTTTGTGCCACAACATTTTCAAACAAACCAATGCGATCACAAGTATCCGTAACAGGGAACAGCTTGGAGTGGTCTGGGGTACCCAAACTCCCATTGTTGTAGCTGGAACATCTTAGGACTTTTTTTAATCAGTCATGGTTATCATGGTTTGGAATGGATAGGAAGCGCATTGCAGCTATTTGGATCTGACCGTGGAATTGCTTAGAGTATGCTTGTATATGGGTCAAACAACTGCAATAGAAAGCAATGACAAAGCTGGCGAATCTAGAAACCTCACTTCCCCCTAAATCTAAATCAGAAACCTTCGAGTTTGGCAAAGGTAACGGCATGGCCCAAAGGTAAAATCGACTTGGTCTAAAAGCTAGCAAACAAATGCAGGAAACCATGGCGTTTACCTCCCAAATAAACATAAATAAACCATGGTTTCCTCAAAATGTTCCCTTGATTATGAAGAGATCATCCTAGTACATGCCCATTACAACCGCATGATATATCATCAATACATATGATATCCCCATTTTTCCCAGGCTGTCCAGCATTTTTGTCCAGGCCAAGTGACCTGTACCTCTTCTGCAGGCTAATGGCCGCCCGATGATACAGGAGCCGCAGCACCAAGGCACGAATGATCATGTGGAACAGCACCACGGCCAGAACGAAAGAACCTGTTGGAATCCCATGGAATCCCAAAGATCTCACTAATACCCGACAGTTCTTATCATGTCTTTGAGCTGGGTGAATATGGCTATATAAATTATATAATGCTATATAGCAGAAACACACCAGTGCAATGTATTAAATGTATTAACTAAATGGTTGCAAATGGTTTGACTTCCCATTTCTGACTCCGAAGAGGACTGAAATTCCAGTTGCTCCGGGGGACAATGGTCGTGGGGCGCCCGGTCCGCCATGTCAAAGAGTCGATCCGTCATCAGCACGAAGCGGCCCTGGCGTACGCCTTCGCCCTTCTTGGTGCTCTCTTCATCCTGAGAAACGCGAGAAATGGGGCGGCTTGAGCCGGGTGTTCTCCAGAAATGATAGGGCCACTAAGTGATGTACCTTGACATGATTTGCACAATATACAGTATAAAATAAAATGCTGGAACTGGTACACTTTGTAAGGACTCTCAGCCTTTATCTTTTCAGGATGTTGAGTGCTATTTTTTGTCCAGCTGACCAACAAGGTCCCACGCAGCTTCGATTTCAGGTGCCTGCAAGCCCAGCACGGAATCCATGATCTTGTACTGATCCCGCATGAGGTATCCAACCTGCTGCAGGTGGAGAAAAAGATCTGACCACAAGCCCCATACCATCCCCTGACCCATTGGCCATGGCTTGCCATGCCTTGAGCCATGCCAAAATGGGAAGCTTTAAGATTTCAGGCGATGCTCAACATGGCATGCACCTGCTGAATGACGCGCATCACTGCCGCTCGATTGAAGATGGAGAGGGAGTTGGGTTTCCTTACATGCTGAGATGATGAGCTGATTTTCACAGAGACCTTGGGGTGGGGATGTTTCCAACCCCAATGGCGTCCAGATCTAGCCAGCACCCAAATAAGAGAACAAAATCATTGTTGATGACTTCGACTCACTGGAGAGGGGCCAGTTGTTGAAGGCGAAGACTTACACCATCTTAAATTTCAAGGGGGCTCCCTCAGGAAGGATCTCTGTTGGGTCCCAGGTTCTCTTCACCCTTCGCATACGTCTTCTTCTCCTCCTTATTCTCACTCAAAGGCTCCTGGAGTTTGAATAGCGCATAACAGCGCGCAAGTTTCAAGAGGATGACCAAACCTGCATCAAACCCTCCATGTTCGCTGTTGTGCAAATTCATGACAACTGGCTTGAGATGTTCTCAGCGTCCTTTCGGATCTATTCACTATGTTGCAGAGATTCCGCCACCGCCCTAGAAAGTTGCCACACCAAGAATGACATCATCAAACCTCATCCCAGCCCACCCTGCCACGGCCACCTTCTTGACTTCCATGACATGTGAGCCCAGTTGTTGCGCCAGCGCTGCCACTGTGCCATGTTGGTTGGGCCAATCCAAGGGCAGGCGATGTTCAATCTCCGCACCCAACACCTGCAGGGAGCTCATTGAGCTCTGGAGTGCCAGCATTTTTTGGATCAATCAACTCAACTCCTTCATAGGTTCCATCATTTTTTATCCGCATCTCTTCAGGTAGATAGCTTAAATGTAAATGTATAACTGCGTGTATTTCCAGCAACTCCAAATTTTAGGCAAAACCAGAGAAAGTCCACCAGCTGGCTCACCTCCATGAGTTGAGCACCAGCAGAGGCATCCAATCCTTGAAACTTCAGGTGATCGTCCGTGGAGATGGCCGGGGAATCCAAGGCTTGCCTGGGGCTCTGGTGGAGGATCCGAAGCTTGGGCCATCGGGGGGGCCCATGGTTATCCCCTTCGCCGACATGACGTTTCCGAATTCTGGCATCCTATCAGAAAAGATCCCAAGTCTTTTCTGTTTGGGGGACCTGAGAACACACATTCTAACGACTATATCTATCTATATAACCAAAGAAGCGCTTGCAGAGGCAGCCGCATTTGCACAATCCAATTCTAGCCTGCAGCCTACACATCCCCGACGCCCCAAGCACCAGTGTCAAAGGGCTACCTTCCGGGGTGGTCTGGGCCCAAGAACATTGGACAGCCGGGATATATGGAGCATTGGGTTCATCATCCCAGGTCATATGCAAAACATTCAAATCATATTCTCAATGGTACTATATTAAAATTAAATCCATTTCAAACTACCAGCCAGTAATTTGACTAGTTCCACTGATCCAAGACTCACCTCTTGACCACTTTTACCACTCGCTGGGTGCTCGCAAGTGAACCTAAGGGTTTTCACCGGTCACATCAGAACAGCTGAAATGCTGAAGCAACTCCGGTGTACGGCCTGGCCGAGAATCATTTGAAATCAAGGCAGGCAAAGCCACACAGGCTTTAAAGCTTTGCTCTGAGCGGAAGCCTTTGGATCAACATAATGCGCATCTCATGGTCAAACAACTCCTTCTCGAGCAAGGTCATGAGGAGTTCCCTGTCTGTCATGTCCACCTCCTTGTTCCGGGTTGCGCCCCAGGTCGCAGCCGATGATGCGGCACCAAGCTTCGAAAAAAATCCGCCCGCGGCCGCCGTTGACTGAGCCCAAGCGAACCAACTTCCACTCGCAATCGTTGCAGGCTGCCATGAAGCGGCCCATGAGCCGGCAGTAATTCCTGCCGCCTGAAAGCCTAAGCTTGCAAGAAGCAAGGGAGGTACTGCCGCAGCAGTCAGGCCCACACCGCCAACTAAAGCCACCTTTCTCCAAGGGACATTTCCCTTGAGGCCCTTTAACTTTTTCCTGGCAAGGGCACGGATCTCTTGATCCACGAGCTGGAGATGCAAGACGTCTTCCACCAACATTTGATCTGCCATGGCTCTCGCATTGGCTCGCATGGGATAGCTGCGGATAGTTGGCAAACTGGTCGCAAAACAAAACACGCCCTGATTTGAGAGAAAAGCAGCTTTCCAGTGGATGGATCTCATGATCTACGCACAGGGCCCCTCGAACTCGAGAGATCCAGTACAAAACGGGGGTCGTTTGGGGAGGCTTGGAGATTGTGGTGATGGGATTGCAAGTCAGGGTCTCCAATCTGAGAACTGCTGTTGTTGAGGGTGTTGGGAAAGGAATCAAGTGTCATGTGAAGCACTTCTGGTAGGAAATGCTGCTTCGCAATTGCCGAGCAATCTCATGTCGGGTCAAGAGATGCCATGATATTCAAAATGTCAAAACTTTCAATTTATAGATTTGCCTCCCTTCACGTCCCACATCATCCACGCATATTCACTTCAGCTTATATATCCCAATACAAAAAAATGCTGCAGCGGAGCATATATCTTCAACATTCTTCAACATCTTCAACATCTTCAAGCAGCCATTCCAATGGTGATCCTCCACTAAACAATTAAATGATGAATAAGCCCTTATTGTAGCGCTTGTTAGTGGTTAATAACCCCTGAATGAACTCTTGCCTTCCGGATATTCTAACATAGCTACAGTATGGAAAATTGATAGTTTAGAAAAGAACTTATTCAATCTTATTTACCCATGATTTATTGTGATGTTCCATATATAGCTATACTAGACGACCTTAAAGGCTACGTCGTGGCTTCAGTCTCCATGGCCTCATGGTCACCAGCACTTCAGCGGTCAGGAAGACGTGGCGATGGTGCGAGGGCATCCCGGTTAAGGTCAGCATAGGCATGGACTCTTCGGGGAAGGTCATCATGGAATCGGTGCGGGTTTTGTAAATGTCCATCTCCTGGCATAACATGCAGCCACTGGCATTGGAAAACATGTTGGAAAAGCCCGGATTTTCAGAGATGATCTGTTGAACTAGAGTGGAGAATTGAATGGCAGGAACTGATAGGAACTGATAGGAACTGATAGGAACTGGAGGTCTATGTGTGTTCTCCCTGTGTATTTAGAATATATAATTTGTGGGGATGTACGGGTTTGCCCCAAAAATAGGTCTGACGGCCATTTTTTCTTTAAAGGGAACGGGCTAATCTAATTCCCCACATGTTTAACCATCAGGTCCAGACTGTACCCCACCTATGGCATGGCTCATAAACCAAGGGTAAGAACATGTAAGAACATGTATAAGACGCTTCCTGTATGTTCGAATGGCATGGAAATGGAGGTTCAACCATAAGCTCATGTCATGGGATATTCGCGGTGTATAGCCAGAAAACTTCTTGGGCGCCAGGTTTGACATTTCAAGCCTCGGGAGCCAGAGATCAACTGCAAACCATTGAATTTCGGGTATGAATAGGACCTGATATGACCATGACGACTTGTGACCATCCATCAAAATCTACGGATGCCAAGAACAAGTGGCAGCTTTTCAGCATTCAATCCAGTCCTTGAAGAGGCAATGAAGCTTGTCATGCGGATGAGGGGGCATATCTTTTCCTTGGTCGCGATGGGCATCCGAAAACTTGTGGCGACACTTTTGATGATGCCCAAGCAAAGAGCTCTTGGCACCTAATGATACCTTTACGCAGGAGAGAAAGGCACCAAAATATCAGACTCTCCACCACCCATGGCCCCATCGCAGCCTCCACGATCTCAGGTGCTTCAGCCCTAATTTTGTGGGTGATACTGATAGCTTCTGCACCTATCCCAGCCAAAGCTCCCACTGGAATGATCTCCTGTGGGTAGTAGCCATCTGTCTGGTGCAACTTGATGGCCTGATGCCCTATGGCCTCAGGCGCATTTCGGGGGGCAAGGTGACTGTTTTTTGTATGGAATCCACTGGAATCCCATCTTGGATGAGCTGGATAAGACAGGATACCCTCTGGTAAACTAACAAAAAACTATGGAAAATCACCATGTTTAATGGGAAAACTCACTATAAATGGTCATTTTCAATAGCTATGTTAAATTACCAGAGGGTAAGACAGGATAAGACCACCTTCCTCATCCACTTTGGGAGAAACTTCGTCCTTGTTGAGGGTAGCAACGTAGCAGATCTGATGCTACCGTAGCATGATAGATCAATGATCAAAGCAGGAGTCTCGCGGGCGCGTTGCAGGACGGAAACAACATTTTTTAACAACAAAAACACAACAACAATATAGCAATCTAATCATGGCAACAACAAAATACTACACCATCAATATGCGAGATACTGTATAAGAAATGTTGCTAACTAAAAACTCAACAATCTGTTTTACTACTTACATCTAATACATATATATTTTTTTAAAAAAAAAAGTACTTTTCGGCAAATGCCAAGATGACGTAGCAAGCCCACTTGATGGTCTCTGGGAAGAGTTCTGCCGGCACATGCGACAGCAGGTGCCTGCTGACCTGCGGTCGGAAATCCACCAGCTGGGATGCTTGGGATTCCTATGAAACACCGTTGATCTTATGAGATGAATGTTGGTAAAACAAGGCCATGGATGCACCATCCCCCAGTCATCACCATTTTTTGCTTGGTGTGTAGAAACCATTCCGAGTCATGGGTGGTTTATGACATTGTCTTACCAACATTATAAGGGGATGTTGGAAATAAACACCAAATGGTGCAGGATTTCAAACACCCATCAGTATGAAATCAATGGAAAGCATATGAAGTATAGCTGAGTCAGCAAAAACATCAGCTATCCTTCACCCAGGTCCCCGAAATGATTCGCAACACATCCAGGGCCTGCAGCAGCAAGTGGCTTGCAAGATCAGGATCCTTCGATGCCTGCGATATCGGATGAGTTGGGATCATGTCCGAAACCACCATCCACTTGAGTTTTTGATCGCCAAAAAAGAGAACCAAAACAAGGAGAACGAAAACCATATTGGAATTTCCATGAATTTCCCCTCCCCACCTGAACCCCCTGCAGATGTTCCATGCTGGCCACGTTGAGGCCCCGCCGGCCCAGCTCTTCGGAACCTAACTTCCCGGTCACTGGCAGCAGGGCAATGCCTTGGACGGACGCTGATGAAGACCCCATCAATGGGCCTTCATCAAAATCGTGCTGTCACCAACATCCCGCATGGTTTCTTTTGGGTGTTTAGTATGGGAAGGATCATTATTCAAGACACTTGGACAACCCAAAAAATTGAGATCAGAAAAAGGACTTGGAAATGGAACAAAATATGAAAAACACATGTGAACCAAGTCCTCAGCTGGTGGAGATTCAAATCACAGGATTCAGGGCATCCACCCAGGCACTTCTCTGCAAAGGCCCCTTCAATTCCTTCAGGATGGCCTGGCGATGTCCACCTACTAACGAGTTCCTGTAAAATCTGTAAAGAAGATGAAAATGTAGGACATGCATGCCAGGAATTGAACATGTTTCTTAAAAGTTCGAATTTATTCGATATGTATATATATATATATTATATTATGCCTATTGTACAAATTATATATAGTTATATGTTATATTATGTATCTCTCTCTCTCTCTCTTTATTTCGCTCTCTTTATGCTCTCTCTCTCTCTCTCGCTTTGAATGAGTTGCCCTTTCGCATCAATATGCATAAATCAACAAAGTATCCTGCTACCAATACTTTGTGAGTATGGCAACATGGAGTTCATGAAGCTTGATTTTCAGGTTCTAAGTGAATCGGTGTGGTTCCAGAATGATCAAACCATCAACACCCATTGGGAGTACTGAGGGCTGCCTACATTCCAAACAGGCTGAGAACTTGCGGAAATTATATGTTGGAGGTTTCAACATTTTGCGAAACACCAAGTATATACAGTATACAGTAAATAATTGAACCAGATTTATCATACCTTCCGCAAAAACGCTAGCATAGCAAGAAGTGGAGAAACATGGCAATTCCACTTTCAGGCCAGTGATGATCTAGACTATCGCATGGTGTAAAGTGTAAAGTCACCATTTTCTAGACGAACTGAACACATGTCAGTCACTTTCATCATCTTTCATCCACATGATTCCCATTATAGTTGGATGTATATTATTATATTAATATCCCAAACGAAATGGTTTTAATTGTTGTGCTCATCAAATATTGCTCGCCCATTCTATCCCCATGAAATACCCCCATCCTATCGCCTGGACTTGCGGTGGAAGATGCCGCCACCAGGGGTGGATGAAGTGCCGCAAGGCTGAAGCGCCTTCCAGCAAGGCCTGCGACACCGCACGGTTTGGTGGGAGATGTGGTGGCAAACCCAGCTGTAGATGGCTATCAATCACCAGAATTCATCCAGGCATCTGCCGGCAGTGATAATTACACTCAAAACTTGCTTGTGAAGTAAAGTGGTCGCCACACAGAATCTACATCCTAAGGGCCCCTCAGGCCCTAGAACTCGATGGCTGGCTGCTACCCGGTAGCTGCTTTGGCTCCCCCAACATCGGGAATATGCTGGAATATGGAGTCCGGTTGCAAATCCTCATCGTCATTTACCATCCCCCTTGATAGCCCCATGATAGAAATGATCGCCACCAAGGGGCCACCAACATGGTGGTGGTGCGCTTGTCAGCATCACCTTTCTCCTTTCGCTCGTCGATGGCATTCTGGGCATCCACATGACGCCGCCAGTTCCTGGAGAAAACGTAGCCCGACATTGGACGTGAATGACCCAGAAAATCAAGTTTGATCATCCAATACATGTGTATAATATATATATACATATATATATATATATATGTGTGATTATATGTGTACGTACATATTTCTGGGCGCCCATCTGTATGCATTTACATCTACCACGCAAAAGTTGAGATCCAAGAATGAACATTGATGTATCGAGGGACTTATAAGGCAATAGTCAATAGTAAGAATAAGTAAGAATTAATGATGAGAATCCCTTGTGCAAATCAATGCACTTAGGGACATGAACATTCTTTAACGACAAATGCCGTCTGAATGAATGCACCAAAGATGGTAGTAGACACTTTCCGCTGCCATCATCCATTGAAATCGGGAAGTTCCCTATCGTGGTCGGTTCAAATTACCAGAACACCATGGAATACCATGGAATACTAGGGAATACTCATGTTTGCTGAGGAAATCTCCATGTATGTATGTAAATATTTCATTATATGTCCATGTCCCCCTTGTGGTCTGTTCAAAATCGCCATTCTTGTGATTCTTGTGGGGGAAATGCTACCTGTTGGCCTCATGTTTGTCAACTAAATCTCTCCATTTATGCCGCTGCAATTAGTTGTGAAGGTCAATTTGTGCCCCTAAAAAAAACATCCATTCATTAGTTGTGCCCCCCTCATTTACCTTGATTCAACTGATGTTCAATCTTCGTTGTATTCCTGAAGTCCACCCAGTCGCTGAAAACTTCACCTCCATCCGACTCCATCCCAACATCCGCGCACACCCAGCCACCTTTGTAGGACAACGATGGCGGCCTCCTGCAATTTGGCCCGGAGAACGTCCAAACGTTTCAAGCGCAACATCTCGATGCGTTCATAGACCATCTGCTTCACATGCAACTGGGCCTGGGCAGATAGCTAGACGATGAGTAAAGGATGTAGGAAAGGATTGCAGAACTATATGATCTATATGTATTTGAAATAAACTTATCTACGTGTTACCTCAAAAGTTGGATCAACCACAATTGTGTAAATTGGGTATCCCATGATATCCCATGGTATGGAAAATTTTCAGAGATTTTGAATGGCCCCCGCTGGACCAATCCCCCACGAAGGAGGAACCTCCCAACCAGAAAAGGTTGCGCCCTTGGTCGTCTTCTTGCTCCCAGACTTTGCGGTGGAACTTGGCTGCGAACATCTCTGTATGGACCATTTTCTAAAGTTTAGTCGGAGGAAGGTGTTTCAGCTCAGGGAAGCCCCCCGCTAGTACCTGTTGCTGTTTTTGCCTTAGTGGGTTCGGTACACCCACGGGCGCATAGCCTTGGCGGCTTTGCTGTGCCGCGGCACGTGCTCTGGTGGTACAGAGCAGACCACCATCACCGGTTCCCTGTTCTAGTCCTACTGCGTGGTTCTCCTCGAGCTCTACGCGCTGGCTTCTTCCCTGTGTATGAGAGTGGTGCCCTTGGTGGTCTACATCCTCCTCGAGCACTATTACACCCTCACAGCGGCGAGCTCAGCGCAGACTTCGACAACAAGCAAGACTTCGTTGGCACTTGCATCGGAGAGGCATTGCAGTGCTTACTGGAAGCCAACTTACGCAGATCTATCGGCAGCTCAGGGCCCATCACTCACAGGATCCGCACTTTCTACGCCGTATTCGAGCAGAGATGGCGGCTTCCGATGCATATCCTTGGCTTTGCCGTTGCGGTCGCAGAAACCGCAAGACCATGGACTACTGCCCCTCATGCACTCGTCACTGGCGCACTGGAACGCCGATCGAGCAGCACGAGGACAGGAGCTATGCTACCTGGAACGAGGACCAGAGTGGCTGGGATGCTCCATGGGTGCAATCAGGTTCTTCTCCAAGGCAGAGAACTACGAGTCCAAGGCAGCGGCAACCCAAGAAAAATCGACGCAAGAAGCAAAAGCCGCAGATGGATGCGGATGGGCGAACTCAATCCCGTGGTCGGGGTCAGGCTTCAGCGCAACAACCATTGCCGCCACCTCCGCCACCGTTGCCGGTAGCGCCAAATTGGGCGCATTTGCAGAACACAGTTGCGCCCACCGATCCACCGGCATCTGTGTCTACCCCGGAGGCACATCAGCTCAAAGAGTGCGTTGCCCTGCTGAACAAGTACGAGGACGGCCTCCCGCCGGAGGTCCAATCCTACATTCAGGGGATCAAAGCCAAGGATGTCAAGAGGTTTGTGAAGACACTTCATTCAGCCGTTACATCTATGGGAAGATCCAGGGACGAGCTACAAGCTGCAATAGCAGCCAGATCTCAGATGCACTCTACATGGCGCACCTTTCTTGCGGACAGCATCACCAGGTTCCAAGCCTATGGCCAAGATTTTGCCACCCAAGAAGAGAATTTGGTGGCAAGGATCCAGGAAGCCAAGAAAGCCTTCGAGCAGGCAAAAGAGAACCTCAGTGTGGAAAAGGCCAAGGCCAGCTCCTTGGACTCATCGGTGCAGGAGGTGTCCGACGAGGAGACAGAGATCAAAGATGTGGTCCTGGCGGCTCCCGACAAGATCACGGAGAGCCTGAATCATCTTACGAGCAGCCTGGAAGGACTGCGTTCACAAGCTGCCGATCTGGAAAAGGAGGAGCAGAAGCACAAAAGGCCAAGACTGGCGGAAGCCGAGTCCGCAAAGCCTGGCTCTGGCGATACTGCCATGCCATCTTTTGGCTAGGCCGATGTCACGTGACTGAACAGTACGTACATCAATGGTCGGTGATAGGGCAAGGTCAGTTTTCGAACACCTTGCAGTGGAATTTGTCCATCGTCGATGAGTTCAACTTTATGTCGACGTGGACAGCTCGAGAATGTGCTGCCTCTTTGGCCTTTGAGCTTGGTCACCCTGGGTCATACCCTGCGAAGCCAGGGAAGCCCCGATCGCCCAAATCTGTCAGAGTTGGATTTCGTGATGAAGTTCGCGTCTTTCTTGGGGATGCTGACACTTTGAGGATGCGATCGTTTTCTTTCAGTGAACCTTGCCTCGCCAATTGGCATGCAAAACCTTGGGCTAGGCGCCCTACTGAGCGATCGACACATGCTCAGTCCCTACCATTTTGGCAGTCTTTTATGAATGATGTGGGCTCAGTTCCACCAATTATGAGTTGCAAAATAATCGACAACCATGGACGCCCGGATGGCTTTCCTGCAGATGGCAGTGACCATGGTTTTCCTGGACGTGATGGACAAGGACAGCCACCACCACGCATCCCGGACTTCACCGACAACATCATTGCTGCGCTTGGACACACATTGACTCCATTTGGTGGCCAGCCCGGCAACTTTCTTGAAATTCGAACGTGGTTTGTGGACCACTCTCAACCACGGCAACATTGGGCGTCCCGCATTATTTCACTTGATGGGGAACAAGCCACATGGATTCAGCAATTGCGAGAAGGCTGGAATGATGTCCTTGATCCAGACATCCCTATGGCTTATCAAATTGTTCATCCACAACCTGTACGAGGTCATGCTGACATGTGGGTTTCTTTGGACATCATTTTGTCCCAGAACATACACATTCGGCGATATTCAGGTTTGATTACAGTGGCTTTTCTCGATGACTTGGAGGGTAATATGCGCTTTGCGGTGGCACATTCCTTCCCTCGAATGGTCAGCGGCTATCTCATTATTGATGCAGTGGATTTGCACAATTTCTGTTCGCCCATTTCTCCGAGGCGTTGTTCTATCTCCCATGGCTGGACATCCATCCCCGTGGACGCGGATGCGAGACATTTGATGCGTTCTGGACATGCCTTTCAGATTTTTGTTCCTGCAGACTCGCAGCAAGATCCTGATCGTCTTGTCGAGGTCCCAGATCCTGCAGCGGCTGATGGAGAGCATGCAGAATATGGCAGTGATGTTACCATGCAGGAGAACCATGCAGAGACCCCTTTGGGTGCACAGTCTCCTCAGGATGAAGGTCCAGAAGATCACGATCCTGGAACCCCTGATTCCACTTCTTCAGAATTGCCTCGTGACATTTTGACTCTGCTCGACTGTTACATCTATCGGTTGAATCATCCACCGTTACACTTGTTCCTGAACTACGTGGCTGGTGTCCCGCTCTTGATTGAGCTTGCACATGTACTTCGGGTCCCACGAGAGTCATTTGTGGCGTCTCATCCAGTATGGGTACGCATGGTCGGGCAAGCACAGGAGGATTGGAGCATCATTGTCCAACATCTTGATGATATTCCTGCGGCATCGACAGACCGATTGGTGATCCTTGACGTGGAGGTGCATTTCCCGCACATGGTAGGACGAGTTCCAGCGTTTCCTGCCGCCATTCGTCGTGTCCTTCGAGTGCCACCCTTTATCACTCGACAAGATGTCCTCAGATATGCGGGAGTCTATCAATATTGCGTAGTTCAGCATGACAGCTGTTTGGTCTACTTCAACAATGAAGGATGGCCCATTCTTCGCCCCGGACCTCGACAAGTCCAACATGGCTCATATTTGCGTGCAATTGTGCCGCCTGCTAATGATGGCACTCTCAATACACTGCAGGCAATCAGGCAAGTTGAGACCTATGTGGCGGGGCTACTAGCTGCGCCGAGCCCAGCAGCACCATCACCGGCGCCAGCACCAACACCAATGCCTTCCCCTGCGACCACAGATTTTGGGCCATTTCCTCCATGTGTTTCCTTGCAAAGTTTTGAAAATTGGCATCGTGAACTTCGCGAAGCATTTGCTGACCATGCTCACGTTGAAAATGAAGATGAAGGGCACGCATTGTATGCTGATGTCTGGTTCATCGACAATGTCAATTACAAAACATGTCGCCAGCCGGCCAAGATCAAGTTGCTCGCCGACGACACCGAGTGGTTCCAGTGTTGGATTCACCAGATGCAGGGCTCTGTTCCGGTGCGTCTTCATGTTGTTCAACCACTTCCTCCAGCTACTACTTTGCAGGCTTTCACTTTGCATATCCTCATTGAGCAGAATGTCATGGAAGCCAGGGCAGCTGCAGTTGTGTCTATGCATATCCAAGAGCGCCTTGAGGACAAACTTTGGCAGTCGGCTTTTTCATTGCCTCGCTGGGTTTCCACCGAGGACATCATTGATGCGACGGAGCTCAACTTTCTTTGCGAAGTTCGCCGTTGTGTGGCGGTTTGTGGACGGATGCATTTTCGACGGTTTATTCGTGAAGAGATTGCTTCTGGAATTAGCATTGAGATCTTTAGCCGACATGTCCGAGAACATGAATGTGATCCTTCTGCAAGTAGCTGGCAAGACCCCTATGTGCCTCGCATTGTTCGAGCCACTTCTGGTCGGTCTCTTATGCAACGAGCAGTACGTCAAAGTCGGGTTGATTCCTCAGCTGTGGTTGAACATTCTATTGGTGTTCAGGAGGTGACGAGTCCTCGACCAGAAGCCCCTACGGTGACATTGCGTGACTTATGGCAACATCATTTTGCTCAATGTAGGGAGCATGACACTGACTTGCTGCTGGTTGAGACTTGGTACATCGATCACCTTCGCAGACCGTGGTCCATGGAAGTGCGGCTCACTCAATTGGGTAGCGACTTCCGTGCTTGGGAACCTCGTCTTCGAAGAGCGTGGACAGATTGGATCATTGCTTCACGCCCAGTTGAATTTCATGTGGTAGTACCAGACTCATTGGATCCTGCTCCTGGGGTTCATCTCCAGATTTTATTAGTGCAACAGCCACAGCCCATGCGTCGCGCGGTGCTCCTGGCAATCCATGATGAAACGTTGGCACAAGATTCACCATCCAGGTTTGCGGTGACGCTTTCTGGCACCATTGACCACTGGCAGATCCTGGATCTTGCCTACTACCAGCAGTATTGTTTTGAGTGGTATCAGTGGTTGACTTGCCGAACCTTTCTTGGTGCACGTGATCTGTCTGATGGAGCGATCTTGCAGGTTGATGATGGTATGGGATTCACCCTTTGGGTACGTTCTCTGCCGGAACCTCCGCAGTCATCTTTTGATGCTGTTGAAGAGGAGCAAGCCGATGGTGCTGCGTTCATTCAGCTCCACATCACCAAGCTGTCTTGCTGTGCACACAGTTTGCTTGACCAGGCAGCAGATCTGCATAATGCTTCAGGGTCTTTGACAGATCCAACTTTGATGGCGAATTTGACTGAGGTGGATTTCACAGGTTCAAGGCTCCGTGCACTAACACAAGCTACACACTTTGCCATGATTGAGATTTTGGAGGCAATTTGCGATCCTCTTGCTCCCTCTATTGTGAGCAAAGGTGATGCTCAAGATGTGGTCCGAGATTCGAGCTCTGTGCCTCCGAGGGTCACCCTATCGCTGGATGCTTGTTTGCCCAGTCCTTTGCCACCAATTTCAACGGATGGGGCGATGCTGATGCATAGTGACTCTC